GCAGGTCCCACCCAGCCCAGCGTGGGGCCAGCAGCTCCCTGGCTCCCGTGAGACCAGCACAGGCAAGGAGCTGGCACCTCAGCTCTGTCCCTCCTCGCCCCACGCTCACAGCAGGTCCCAAATGCATCCTCAGCATGTTATCAGACGTTACTCCAAAGAAAAGCGACCTACTCAGGCTTGTAAAGCAGCACTCAAAGAGCCAGCACCTCTGCAGAAAATCAAATAAATTAAATTAAAAAAGAGAGGGACTGTGAGATATTTGGTCGAGGAGGAGAAGAGGGGCTAACACACTGATGTCTGGCTGCTGGTAGGAGAAGAGGGTACAGCCTGCCCCAGCCCCTGAGATTTCCAGTTGCTGCAGTGTCCAGGGAAGTTGTGGTGTCACAGACTGGGGAGCAGGCAGAGGGGAGGGCAGGGTGGATTTCTGTGCCTTCCCCGCCTCAGTGTCCAGGAGAGCTCCCATGCTTCAGAGAGCCTGTCCCTCCACAGCCCCTGTGAGCTTCTCTTCATCCATTTGCTTCTGCTGCTGGTGGATCCGAGCATAGGAAATGGCATCTCCCCTGCAGAGAGAAGGGACAGCGTGGGGACGTGACCGCCAGGTGCTCACCGTGCTGGGTACACCACCGACCTCCCCACCAGGGATGCCAACAGCAATATGAGACCTCCTGGCTCACTCCAGCCCCACCAAAGCTGCTCACCACCCCCAGAGCTGGGCCCATCTACCCAGAAATGGGGCTGGGACCCACGGGGCAACCGAGATAGAGCTCCCAAGCTCAGAGCTCCAGCAAACCATGGGACCTCGAGATGCCGGCGGGGAGATGCCCTGCAGCCAAAAGCAGGGTCAGTGCAAGGGGGAAGCACAGCCTCGGGGAGGCAGAGCTGGGTGGGGACCAGGGGTTCCACCTTCCCCAACCCTCCCCTGGGCAGCAGGCAGAGCTCTCACTTCTTGCCCAGCGCGGAGAGGCCGTAGAGCACCCCGGTGGCGAAGGCGATGGCGTTCCCGAAGAGCGTGGTCAGCGTCAGGCTGAGCATCACGGGGAAGGCAGCCATCCTGGGGGGG